CAGAGCTGGAGCAATGGAAGTTCAGGAGCCATACCTGACACATTTGTAGGAAGGTTCCTACTTAATAGTAAGGATTTTCTCAAAACTTCTTTGCTGTGTGAACATCACAGATGGTAGATTTCTGTGCTCACATTATCAAGCTCACATAATCTTAGGAATGGTTCATAAAGGAATACTAGCATGTCTGCCTAACTCAGTTGACACTAAGACTAAAAAGGGTTTGACCTAATTACTTTATAGTCAGTCATAAAAAATACAACTTGTAATTTTCATAGCTGTGCAAGGTTAAAACAGTGTACCTTTTATCAAAATAAATTCTCAGTTTACAGATAACTGAACATCACGCAAAATCACAAATGTGCCTTTGCTCCTTTTTCAAACTGGGCTCCTTTACAATCTTCTCGTACCTATGGGTTCTGTCCTTTGTAGTGAATCATGAGTTTCTGTTCTTGGTTGGTTGATTAACTGGTTTTTATGCTGTCAGTTCATTTGTGATGATTCATCCAAGTCTCGCACCAGATCTTCCCTACTGAGATACAAATTTTAACAACAGATACTGCTGTGACCAAGAAAGCAGGTCAAGTTCACTAATCAATACAAAGAACTCTCACTAAATTATTAACCTTATTAAATCTTAAACACAATATGCAAATACACTGAGCATTAACTGGCAATTTGCATCCAAGATTAATCAAGCATTTTACTTGTCATATTTGCAAGCTTATCTTTATATTTTAGTTTGCAATAAAACAATAAAACACATAGAAAACAGAAAAGAACTAGAAATCAAAAGGATATACTAGAAGCTGCCTCCTCCCCTATATTCTTTCCTTACCCTATCCTGCCGCAGGCTCCCAGTCCTGCCAGTCCTGCAGCCAGCGATATCACACCTTAATCCCCATGACTTTCAGGACTATGCACAATATAGGGGTTCCATACATATCTGTTGAACGGGCTCATGACAACAGCAGAATGTAGTTTTTTTATAGGTATTAAATGATCTTCAGAAGTTTTGTGACTGTCTGCTGTACTACTCCCAATCTTTCCATATATTTAGATTAATGTAATTACTATTACAAGAAGTGATAGTCATTGCACACAAAGTATATCAGCAACATAAGCACAATATTTTAACATTTTATATTTGAAAACCACCGTGATAAACCAAACCAAAAAAAGCATTTCCCTGTGCTCTTTCATTTAATCATCACTGATATTATATGGAATATAACCACTTTTACTGCTGCTGCTTTGATAACACAGGGGAAAAATAGATGAAATCTAGACCAGTCAACATATAGGCGCCCAGACCAAAAAACATTTTAAACTGAAAGGAATCTTGTTGTCCAATCTCCCAGAAAAATCTGGCAAATATGTTTCTCTTTTGTTAAAGCTTGCCTATTCTCTCCTTCCTTACTCAGAAAGCTATGCATATTGTCCTACCACTGTAGTTCTACCTGTCAGAAAAAAGTGAGATAGATGCTGGTACTGCCTGTTGACATACCCAGGTCTTTTACCCATAGAGCTGGCAGGTGTGAACACAACCTCTAAACTCCAACATCAAAAGGGGAAAAAAGATGTGTAGCCTCCTAGGAAGAAACCCCTATCAGCTGGAAAACAGATTTCTACGTTTCAATTGCCAACCTAGCTAAACAAATTGTATCTTGATAATCTTCAGGTATAAAGGATACATTCTGCATTCCTCAGAACAAAATACCTAATCCAAACAGATAGTATCTCGTCTGTTTAGAAGCCAGTGAACAAAGTGGAATTGCCTCTCCCATCTCATGCTTTTTAGACTCAACAAATAAATATTGGGCCCTATGTGCCAGGAACCAAGTCAGGTACCACACTAGGTAGTACAATTATTTAGGATTTGCAAGGTAACATACTGCTCTCAACTGAACTTGATAAAAACCTATCTTAAATATTAAGATACTATCACCTACCCTTTACCTTAGCTGTCATCTCTGAGAATACAGTATCTTTTAAGACATTAACAGCATTACCCAAAATCAGAGAGCTTCTTCATCTGTTTTACTATCTCAATCCTACCAAAAGCTTTCAAAAATAGCTCTTCTACCTTTCTCTTTTTTTCTTTCTACTCCCTTCCAAATAAGAAAGGTTAATATGCCATCTAGCCCTAAGAACAACAGACAATAAACACACACACTTCTTTCTTCCAATGGCAACAAGAAAAAAGTTGAATACCAATTAAAAAGAAGAGAGAGATGACACACACCATTACTCTTTCAAGTACTCGGAGAGGGCACTTACTCCAGCCTACTCAGCAAAATCCGGACTCCAACTTAGAATGAAAAGAGGATTTTCTTTTCTGGTAGGTAAGGAAAAGAACTTGAGAATTGATTAGCCTTAAAAATATGAACCCAGACAGTCAAATATTGATTTTTATTTTTAAGAAATAGAGTTTTAATAAACACCACCAAAAGATTGTGCATAAACAAACAAGTCAATCTGAAAGGCAGGAAGAAAGTGATGTGGTACATCATTTTTCTGAAAGTTGATAAGCAAACATAACATAATAAAATCACCTCAGGAAGGCTGATTTTTGTTTTGGAACTTTTTTCACTAGTCCACTTAGTGATGAAGGATTTTTCTTTCTTTTTTTTTTTTTTTTTTTTTTTGAGGAGGGTCACATGATGTCATGCAGACTGGCCTTGAACTCACTTATGTAGCCCAGGCTGGCCTCGAACTCAAGACCATTCTCCTGCTTCAGCCTCCCAAGTGCTGGCATTACAGGCATGCACCGCCACACCAAACTTAGTGAAGGACTTTTCTTAAATGTTTCACAAAGTATACTTAGTACACTCTGAAAGCTAAACTACTTCCTTTAAGATTTTTGCCTCACCTCTGAAGAGTAGTCATTCATTTTTATGAGCCTATTTCACTGCACTAGTGAACTTTAAAAAGCATGGTGAAGATGACAAAATAATGATGTTTTACACTAAAGCAAAACTAAGGGAGGGGACATGGCAGGTAAAATTAAAACACAAAGTCAAAATTGAGACCCACTAATTTTTTAATTTTTTTTTTTTTTTTTTGTTTTTTTTGAGACAGGGTCTCGCTATGCAGTTCAGGCTGGCCTTGAGCTCACTTTGTAGCCCAGGCTGGCCAGAAATCACAATGATCCTCCTGCCTCAGCCTCCAGAGTGCTGGGACTACAGGCGCGTGCCACCATGCCCGGCTTAAGACCCTCTAATTTTGACATAAAGCTATTAGTAGGCTGGCAAAGACACTAACCTTTTAGGATAACCTTAAGCACATAAACATACATCTACTTACACTTGGACTAGGTCTAGTTGGAGATTAACCTGAGTAAGAGTTTTCAAGACTATTTTGTCTAACTGCTGTGATAAGTTTGGCAACTCGAAAGCAGCTTTTTGATGCAAGTTGCAAGTTTAAAACACACTAAATAAAATTATCAGAAGCACCTGAATTTCTTTTGTAGGCACTGCTTTGTTAAGTATCCAAAATTAGCTTTCAGTAGTATAGGAAATGTCACTCTATCCTATTTGGTAATATCTCCAACAAACTTTGGCATTAATGTGGGCAAACTGCCAGAGAAAAAAACCATAGTATATAAGACAAGCTATAACTTAATCATTTAACTTAGAAAATAATCTTCTGGACTATCGTAACCTACAGGGAACCTGGTATTTTAAATTAGGTTCATAAACAGATTAACCCGCTCAACCAGCTACAGTAATAGTAGGTGGACAGCATCCCTACCTCAAAAGATAAAAGAAATTACTACCATCAACAAAAGAGTTTGAAGGCAGAATTTGAAACGGCTCCGTTCACAAGGTCATGCATTAACTGCAGTCACCTCCTTCTTAAGTTCATCAAGCAATGAAGCTTTAGGAGAAACATTTTATTCACGTATGTTAAAATAACCGCAAATACACAGGTGACAATGAAAAACAGCCCTTGCCCAGTTTTCTTGATCACAAAAGCGTTCACAGTCTTTCTCTTAAGTGTAATTCCTAGAAGGCATTGGCAGATCTCTGCCAGGCCAAGCTGCAGTGGAAAACCAAGTACATGTGTCCGACAAGATGACAGGAGGGTCAGTGTTTCTAACAGACTACTTCAGTTTGCCACAGCAGTAGCGGTTCAGCCTAACATGGTTAACGCTGTAATTGTATAAGATCGAACACAACTCATGTAAATAAGGATCTGCCTGACCACAAATAGGGAGCTCTGGGGAAATATAATTTCTGGGACAAAACACGGTGCTTGCATAATTCCACAAACGCACGCCCAAGTCAATCTTCACAACAATGGTAGTCCCCGCAGTGTGCTGACACTTTTCCCACCTAAACTTCTCAGCACAGCCTGGCCTAAACCGGGTTCTAATCCGTGCACAAGGCAACAGCGACAAGCACCAGGATCGGCCCGGTGGGGCAACGCCTGCCCCTACCCAATCCAGCTCCTGCGGGTTGCAGTGTAGTTTGGTCCGGTCTAGTTTACGGTAATGTGCTTTTAAAATCCCGCCGCGACCGAGGGAGGTCAAAGCTTTAGAGATCTAATAACAACCAAATGACTGGAGCTGCAGAGCACTTAGTGAGCCATTCTGATTATGGCTCTTTAATAGCACCTGGAGTTCTGCTCAAGGGAAAGCGGAAAACTCCAGCTTCCCCGGAAAGAAAGTCCTCTGCGGGGTGCGCGGAGCGAAGCACCAGAGCCGGCCGCGGGCAGGGGACGCTCCGCACCCTGGCCCCATCCCCAGGCGGCGCCGCGCGACCCTCGCCCACAGCCCACTGGCCCGGGCCGCACCTTTACCTGTCAGCCCCACCACCCAGCCTCCCGGCTGCTGCCCCTCCGAGTCCCGAACACAGCCCCGGAGCCGGCCGCCGGAGAAAGAACCCCAAAGGCATCCCATCCCAAAGAAAGAAAAAGCAAAAAGGCTGCTCCTATAGGCAGGGGGCCATCGGGCACCATGCGATCCGAGAGGCGACACGCCACCCCTGCCCCGCACCTACCAGATAATCCATGTACAGAAACGCCTCAGTTATCCGGAGATCAGACATCCGGCAACCTAAAGCATCCGGAACGGCTCCGAACCCGGAAAAAAAGCAGCTTCTCAGGCTGCAAGCGAGCAGCTCCTGAAAAAGCCAGCGACAACGAAAATAGCCGAGAGCAGCCGAGGAGCCGAGGATTACACAAGGGGGGCGGTGATTGGCCGGGCGGGCGGGCAGAAGGAAAGGAGGACGCTCATTGGCTGTGATTATTATAAAAGGCAGGCCCCGGCGCACTGTAGAAGAGAAGCGCGGGAGAGCCCAGGACGCTGGTTCCTGTGTTCAAGGGGAGGGGCGGCGGCGCGGGCGGAAGGGCGAACCGGGAGAACGGAAAATCGGCTGGGGTTTCTGCCGCCTGAGTTCTACGTCCTTCTACAGCCTCCCATTCGGGGGAAGCGGGAGCACGTACTCCCAGCTCCAGGGCTAGCGAAGCCCTGGTGTCTCTTTACCCCGCACACGCCCAAGTAGGAAGCGAGCGCTTTTCTGTGGGAGGCGTGGTAGTCACCAAAACTCGCCATCTCTGCCCCGAGCGCTTTCCCAAGGGCTGAGTGGCCTTGAGCCTGCACCACCGGAACGAGGGACGTGTAGAAGAGTACTCTGAGCAGGCAGCCAGTGCACCGCGTGGAGATAGAAAGACTTCCCACGTTCCTTGCCCGAAACTAAGGCGGGCAGTTCTAGCTGGTGGACCCTGCACAGCCAGGGGAAACCCTGGGGTCAGATGGAAAAATCGCTTTCCTGCAAGTGAAAGCTGTGCTCCCCAAACCCTCGGGAAAGAGGCTGATCAGTGCTTTGCAGCTTTGGGTCCAATTACACTGAGCACAAACCCAATCTCTATGAATAAAATAAACAATAAAATAAGCTTTCTGAAAGGAGCCAAGTAATACCTTTTGTGATGTCCTCTTTTTGGCTTTTTAGAAGTTTTTTTTTTTTTTTTATTAGTACATGTTTGCAGTACGTCATGTTTACATACTTGTGTGGAGTTGGTACATATGTATAATACATGTTAATTTCTTTTCTCATCCCCTTTTCCTCCCCTCCCTCCATCTCTTGATCCCCATCTTATTTTAGAGACAAAAAAAATATAAGGAGATGGATTTAAGACTTCTGCATTTCCTGGTAAATAACTCAGAAATAGGCAGTGGGATTTCAGTATTGCATTAAACCGAGAAGAAAAAGTCTGAATCAGACAAGCTAGAAAAAAAACATTCAATGTTCTGTTTGTTTGGGGGTTTTTTTGAGACAGGGGCTAGTTATGTAGTTCAGACTAGCCTTGAATTCACTATGTAACCCAGGCTGGCCTCGAAACGGTAGCAATCCTCTCGCCTCGACTTCCCAAGTGCTGGAATTACAGACATGTGCCACCGTGCCCAGCTGTTTGATTTTCAATTTAGGCTGTGAGTGTTACAGTCAAGGCAAAATGAGACCATGAGTTCCTCCTTCTGTAGAGGAAAAAGGAACAAAGACTATAAATAAATAGAAAAATGAATACTAAAAGTGCTCAGAAACTTTGCACTATAATTTCATTTGTAGAAATTAGGATAATGAGATATGGACAGTTTTATAGGCAAACATTCACTGCAATATTTTAATAGTATCTCAGAGGACTTGCTAACATAGCACCTTGCATAACAGCTTTGTGTAGCCATCAGACATTTATGAAGTTCCATGATTGTGGTGGATTAACTAATGGTCAGTGTGTAACAGTGTGGTCCTGGGTGTAGGCCACTGGAGGATTGTTGCCAACAGCACAAAAAGAGAACTAGGGAAGAAGATGGTCTGCTATTCATTCTTGAAAAGCTTGTCACACTGGTTTTCCTGATATGAACTTGGCTGTTCTCCTCATTGGAGTAGCTCAGGTCCTCACTGTCACTGAGGAGGGCTGTGGTTCTTCTCAGGGAAGCTCTGGTCCTCCCTACCTTGAGCATTGCTTCCTAGCTCCAGTGCATATCCCTCAGCCTGCTGGCACAGATCCTTCATCCCACTGGCACAGACTTTCTAGCTTCCCCCACTGACCTTTAGCCCTTCCCAGTGCAGATCCTCGATACAGACTTGCGTGAGATATCGCCATGGGCTCTAGGCCTCCAGCTGGACTGGTGCAGAAGAGCGCTGTGGGATCCAGGCCTTCAAATGGATTCTTTGTGTCTCTAGTTTGTGCACAGATGTCTTGAACTCTTCTGCACTGACTTTTTGGGTAAATATTAAAAAATAACCCTATAAATTATGTGTCCTGTGTTAAATCTTTACCCTTGCAAACCCTGACTACAACAATGACAAAGTGAAGTTTATAGTGAGACAGTATTCTTTCCTAAGTTATTATACATCAAACAAATGAATGACAGCAACAGTAGATAAAAATAGCCAATTATATGTTATTTTTTTTGGATGGTAGGATTCAGGAGACCAAGTGGCCCAAAAAAAAAAAAAAAAAAAAATGTTTTTGTTTGCTTCCAGACACAGCTATTTCACGGGTCTCAAAAAATTGTCCCTACCCCCAGTACTTAGGGAGGCTGGAGGCTGAGGAAATCAGTCTTACCTGCATTAGTAATTAAGGCTTAAATACATTTCAAAAAGTAAAACATAACAAATCCTTCTGAAGTCACTGAACAAATAGAGGTTTGATTTTTACTTCTTCTCTAACCTGACACTTTCCTTTCTGTGTCCAACTGAGTGAGTCATGTGATTTGGGAAATATTATCTAATCTCCCTGAACCTGTTTCCTCAGCTGCAAAATAAGAATTCCTACAACTAGAGGGTTTACTAAGTAACTAAACGGCTATGACTATACAGAGCTGCACAGGGCTTGACTTTGGTGATCCAAATATCACACAAGGGTGCATGTGTAATTAACAAATAATACTTCTAGAAACATTTCAGTGAGTTTTTCTAATTCAGGGGCTAACAAGTCTTAATTGTTTTAAGCCATTAAATGCAATTTTGGTGTTTCTTGGTATTCCATTAGTTCAAACACAAATAGATACAGAAGAGATTTTTGGCCTGGATTCTGAAGATGAAGGCGTCCCATATCTTCATCATAATTGGTCGAAACTAATTACAAAATTTAAAGGCTTTCAGATAACTCATTTTGTTTTCCTTCTCTGTAAAGAATAAGCATATTGCAAAGAAGAAAGGGGGCTAGAGTCAGCAAAGAGATGCCTTTTGGCTCACTGTGTTAGTGATGAATGAGGTCTTTGCTACTGCCAAGTCATACCCTTAAGAGACCTATTACCTTCTATGCAAGGGAAGAAAACCACCCAGGAGAGTTGGCTTCTGCCTTTCCTTTAACCACTAAGCTTAGGAAAAGACAGTCCTATTCAGAAGGTTAATAGGCTAAATAATGGTTTGTGCTGCCTCTAAGAAGCATCAAATGGGCCCCAAACAGAGGAATAAAAAAAAAAACAATTGAAGAAAAGTTTCCAAAGACTACACCATGGTACTCCCTTATTCCACAATATTTGCACTTTTAGTACACTTAGCATCCATGAAAACTTCATGTTCAGTATAATGTATATGTATTTTAATTATGTTTTGTAAAACTTCATGTTCAGTATAATGTATAAGTATTTTAATTATATGTGTTTTAATCATGTTCAGTATAATGTATATGTATTTTAATTATGTTTTGAAGAGTCCTTGCTGAGAAAAACCCTGAAGCTTCTGAATCCGCATGGAGCACATTTTTCCAATTAGGTGTCAGTCTTTTGTGATGTTAATGGCTTACCCTTTTATAGAGGAAGAAGCTAACTTGGTTGTGTTGTTATGAATAGGTAATATATAATACACAACACGAAGCTGCCATCTTAGCAGATAGGGTTGGTAGCAGCAGCTTTAATCTCCTCAGTGTACGCTTTTTGAAAAGCAAGTTTAGAAGGGGTAGAGTGCTTTTACTTAACCCGTCTTTCAATAAGCCATCTAACAGGCTGCAGTCTTAAGACAGGATCTCTCAGTAATTTAGTCCTACCATTATCTTCCATAGAAATAATAACTCTTCCAGAGGCAGAAGAGAGCAGGTGTAAACTCCTGGGGAATTGAATTACTGTACAAGTTGCAAGGAAAGAGGTCATCACTGTTGTTTGTCAAAACCAAAGAGAAATTCTTTGGCTAGTCTACACTCCTCTCTTCCATGAAGACTGCTGGTTAGCCAGATTTGAAGGAATATTTTTGTTAAAGTATAACTTGTAGGAAACAAAAACAAGTGTGTGTATTTTTGCAACTTAATCTTCAAATTCTACCATCTCTTTCCCTCTCCCTCTCTCTCTCTTTCTCTGTCTCTCTCACACACACACGCACACACACCAGTAATGGCTATTTCCATCTACCCTTTTGTTTTTATTGTTCATGTATTTGGTGTATAACAATTTAGAGAAAAATCCTCTCTTTACTATTTTTTTATTGTGTACACACACTATAAACTTCATATACGAAATGCTTCTAATGAGTATATAAAACTATTGTACAAATGTACCATGTAAACCAATCCCCTATCATTTACATAATATTCTTATATTATAAATATTGCAGTGCATGCTTGCTTATGAAACTGTCCACAGCCGTTATCCTAATGTTACTGCACAAAATGCTGGCCCTGCTCGCTGCACAGTGGAAGCCAATTGGTTAAGGGCCTGCACAGAGTGGAAGAAGAACTTCATTATGATAAGAATGTGGCAGGAATGTTCGTTCTTAAAGAGTCAGCTCTCCCAGAAGGTCACTCAGGGGCTGTTTATGTGGGAGATGGGCGGGCACCTTCTCACAGGTGGAGGTTTGTGTTCAAATGACGCATAGCTCATCCTAATTGCATGGTCATGAGATGCTTCTCAGTTCTACAGTTCTCAAGAGCAAAGATCATTATTTCCTCAGGCTAGCCTTGTCACTGAGTACCTTCCTACATACAGTTCTAGACATTATACACTGGACATGCTGGAGGGGTTAGCTCCCATAGGCCCTCTTGATCACTAATACTCATGGTAATGAGAGAATACATACTTCAGCGCATTATTGTGGAATACAAGGGTCAGGTGAGGCTAAACAGGAAGTCAGGCATGAGAGCTGGTCTCCCTTGTTGGTTTCATTAAGAATAATTTCTAGAAAGCCAGGCATGGTGTCTCACACGTATAATCACAGCACTTTGAAGGCAG